ACCGAAGCGCACTACATGGATGACTTCGTCGACAGCTTCAATGATCCGAGAGAGGCCCACGAAGTCATCACCCAAGTCGACGCAGTGCACCAGAAGGCTGGATTCCACCTGAGGGGATGGAACAGTAACAATAGGAAGCTACTACAAGCCGTGAACCCGGATAGTAGAGCCAAAAGCGGGACGACGACGTTTGGAGACACAGAGAAGACATTGGGCCTGCTTTGGGATGCAAATACCGATCGGCTGGGCTTCAACACCGCCCTGCCTAGAGTCCCACTGCCAGTGAAGTCTCGACAACGCCCGCCGACGAAAAGAGAAGCATTATCGACGGTGATGAGCATATACGATCCGCTCGGACTGCTCAGCTGCTTCACAATCACAGCGAAGATAACTCTTCAAAAACTATGGCGCCTCAAGACCGGCTGGGACGACCCTCTACCATCCGACTTGAGCGAGGACTTCGATGCATGGTTGACAAGCCTGCCAGCAATCGACCAACTACGGCTACCCCGTAGTTACAACGGGGGGAGAGAAGTGCGTCGCCGTGAGCTTCATGTATTCTGCGACGCCAGCGAAGAAGCCTACGCAACGGCGGCGTATTGGAGGTTGCACTACGGACCCGGCCATGTTATCGAGACAGTTCTGATAGCGGCTAGAGCTAAGGTCGCGCCCTTGAAGACCCAAACCGTACCGCGCCTGGAACTTCAAGCGGCCCTCATCGGAACGCGACTAGCGAAAGTAATCAAAGAAGAACACCGTGTCAACGTCGACGACACCGTGTACTGGAGCGACTCTCAGACGGTGCTTCATTGGCTGCGGAATGGAAGCAAGCGCTACACTCCATTCGTCGCACACCGTCTGGGAGAAATAACCGAGTCATCCAGACCGCAAGACTGGCGATGGATACCGACGCATCTGAACGTAGCCGACGTCGCCACACGCGCCGGTTATACGCCAGCCAACGAAAACGACCTGTGGTTCACGGGACCATCCTTCTTGAAATTACCAAGATCGGAATGGCCGAAGCCACCAACGGATCGAGAAGATGACGAAACGACGGAAATAACACACGTCATCGCGCACACAACAGAGAGAAACGTGGCGTTACCGGAGATAGAACGATTCTCGACGTTCGAGCGACTGATCGGCGCAACAGCGCAAGCGCTACTCTTCGTGGAAAGATGTCGCGACAGAACGAAGACACTCAGCCGCGAACATTTCAACCGAGCGACAAATTTATGGCTGCAGCAGGCGCAACAAGACTCCTTCAGCCAAGAAATCGAGTGCCTGAAGAAAGGAGTCCCCGTAGCACGAACGAGCCCTCTACACCGTTACGACCTCACCTGGGAAGACGGGCTTGTGAAACTAAACGGACGCATTAACAAGGCGGACGTACCGGAAACAGCGAAGAAGCCGGTATTATTGGACGGACGCCACGAACTCGCGAAGAAAATTATTGATCGAGAGCACAGACGAGCGGGACACTGCAACAACGAGCGAGTGGTCAACGACGTCAGGCAGCAGTACTGGATCCTGCGGCTGCGACCAACAGTTAAGAAAGTCGCAGCAGGCTGCCTTATGTGTCGACTACGAAGATCGAAGCCAAGGAGCCCGCCGACGGGGGATCTGCCCGCAGAACGTTTACAGCCCTTCAGACGTCCCTTTAGTCATTGTGGGATAGATTACTTCGGGCCAGTCACCATCAAAATTGGACGACGAAGAGAGAAAAGATGGGTGGCGTTATTCACCTGTCTAACGATACGCGCCGTGCACCTGGAGCTGGTGGCATCACTCACCACTGACTCCGCAATCATGGCGCTGCGAAGAATGGCAGCACGACGAGGATGGCCCGCCGTAATATATAGTGACAACGGCACTAACTTCCGAGGGGCTGACACCGAGCTCAAGAAGGCGTACACCGAGTGGCTTCCCGAGCTGAAGAGAGAGGCGATGAACTACGATGCCACATGGAAATTCATCGCGCCGGGAGCACCTAACCAAGGCGGAGCCTGGGAACGCATGGTTCGCTCCGTGAAAACCGCGCTCAACGCCACATTAAAGGAACGAGCACCGAAAGAGGAGGTCCTGCACACTCTACTGGCCGAGGCGGAACATGCTGTCAATTCACGACCATTGACGCATGTCTCCGTAGATCCAAGCGATCCGGAGGCGCTAACCCCAAACCACTTCTTGTTGGGGTCATCGACCGGCCTTCCATACACCGGGCCATGTGAAGAGGGCGACCGCAGGACTTGGAGGGCGACGCAAGCACTAGCCGACGCCTTCTGGAAACGCTGGCTACGAGAGTACCTACCGACCCTCGTACCACGCCGCGACCCACAACGTCCACGAAGCAGCGAAGTACGGATCGGAGACGTGGTTATCATAGCCGACCACGCTCTGCCTCGAAACACGTGGCCACGCGGCATCGTAGCCAATACCTACCCTGGACCTGACGGCGTTATTCGGAACGTGGAGATAACCACAAGAGGAGGAACATTTCGGCGGCCGACATCGAAGCTGATCGTCGTCGAACCTGCACTCTCCACGGAACGATGAGAGGACGCGCTGCGCGACGGGCACGGGCTGCCAACCGGAGGAGGCTGCGGAGATCCTTCGCCGGGGGGAGACTGTTGAAGACAGCCACGTGCCGAAAAATGTACAGATCGAACGACCAATCACAGCGCCTACATTAGCGGAATTATCGGGGAGCCCATTGGCTGCGTAGGCGCCGTCCGCACGGTGGGGGCGATTCCCCCACCCGGCGCGCGGGCGTAAAACGCGCTGTGATTGGTCGGCCGCCGCGCGTCACTAGTATCTAAGTTAGATGTTAAGTTTAGAATAAGGGTAGGGCCAAATTTGTAAATATTTGTAGTCAAGTCAAGTCAGTCAAGCAGTATAGTCAAGCAGTAATAAGTAGCCAGTAAGAAGAAAATACAATAAATCGCCTATAGAAGAAATTCGTCTTTGTTTTTCACCATCATCCACGGTTATACAGCATCGTCTACAGTTTGGTCCATAGAGCCGGATCAGCACCCTCAACAGTTTGGTCCTTCGAGCCGGATCAGCACCCTCAATAGTTTGGTCCTTCGAGCCGGATCAGCACCCTCAATAATACCAAATCTATATTATTGCAAATATAAAATAATTGTTAATTTGTATTGAATATAAGCTTTTTAAATTTTATCACCTACACGGGAAGCTACGTCATACGCGGGTGACATAGGCTATTTATGCAAGCGATGTCGCGACATACAGCTAGTCAGTAATATTTATAACGGTTAATGTCAGTAAGTCAGTAATATTTATAACAAGATAATCATGTGGACCATTACTAGTGTCATATACGAATGCCCTTTCAATTATTATAAATAAGGATGGCATAAAAATAAAATTGGTATTATTGTACAAATTAAAATTTTATATTAATAAGTATTTATTTAACGGATCTATCGAAAATTAGATCAGATCATGATACCACAAATCTTCTACGCTGCGCTCCCATCCGAGAGACAACTGGAGAGAACGCGTAGCATGATGGTTAGGACTCAAATCAATCGAGTGTACAGTCATCTGTACGTCAGACTATACTTAACTGACAAATTTCCACATTCGATTTGAAATCTTACTTTATTGAGGGCAGAGGTCAAAATCCGTTACAGAAATTTGACATATTGTGGTAACCTGACGTACAGCCATGAGTTATACGAAGCCAATACCCGAAACAAGTCCAGTATTCGCCATGTGTAAATGAACACTCCTAGAGCCAGTAATCAAGCTGTCCAATGACATAAACGATTTCTAATTTTTACTGGACTGCCTTACTGGATTATCGCGGCTATTGGCGAGGTAATTAAATACATCCCGCCCCGCGCAGTTCGGTTTCATATTTAGTATGAAAACGAATCGCGCGAATAAAAAGAAGTAAAAATTAATATCACTCCCGCACATAATCTGGCGGCGAGTTTAGCTGTAAGGGTTTATTAAACAATATCACTGAGTCTTTTCTGAGGTATCGATTATGTAACAAACGCTACAGCGTTATGTAAAATATATTTTACATTAACGCCGTTAGTACACCGACGCAATCGCATGCGAATGTGTAACATATGCGAATTGCTTTCGCATACGATTGCGTCGGCGAAAAGCCGCGGCATGGGCACGGGCACGGGCACATACAAGTTCATTTGTTTCACAATGTAGAGCTACGTTTCCACCGTAGCTATGGTTGCCAACTTTTTTATTTGAAGAAATAGAGATAAATAAAGAGTGCGGACTTTTAAAAAAGAATGTCGCCTCATTGGTACTAGTATAATAAACATTTGTCTAAAAAAGAGTATTTCAGTGTTATAGATTAAAAGTACGCCTAAATGATATACAGTAAAATACTCTATTATAAAGAACAGTTGGCAACCCTAAATGCAGTACCCGCTATCGTGAACATCAACACACCTGCAGTAACAGCACAGTTTTGAATTATACGTTAAGTGGAATCACTCAGCATCCTGTCACGCTTTCGTATACCACATTAAACTTTCGAGCACGCATATTCAAGCAAGCAATTTTATATGTAAGTACATAATATTTCTTGCAAAGCCATGGTTGACGCACGCGCGTGCCCAACGTCTCCGTGCACAGCAGTGGATACGCAGCTTAAGTAGCATACACATTTATCTATACCAGTGCTTCCCAAACATTGTTCTGCCATGGCTCGGTAATTTTCACGCTGCTTTTTCGTGATCCACTTAAATTTTGAAACCCAAAATGGTTTGATTAGGTAAAAATACCGGAATGACAGAGCTTCGCTCGGTATACTTAATTTCATGGAAATCATTTGATCCATTTCGAAGTTGGAGCAGCTGCAAATTTTTTAGTAAAGAATTCCAGTTCACGGAACAAAACGAAAGTTTTATCCTAACTATAATGTTACACTTCAAGTTGTTTTCTATATTCATTTTTAAGGTAAACTAGTGTTGAAAATAAATCTTCAGATTTATAAGTTGTGACAAAAGGCATTGAAAAAGTTATTGCTTGATGAACTAATGCTTATATTTTATTTTGATGGCCCGATACTGGGTCGCTACTCGGCATATGGGAAACACTGATCGATACTATTATCGCCGTTTACACATACCGACAGGTTTATCGCGTAACTCGATTGGCTTCACATTGAATGCACTATTCAACACAATTGGAGCTACCGTACCGATGATGACCGAACATATGATTAAAAATTATAATCAGTCTTATTTGAATAATCATAAGGCGTATAATACAACGCCGTTACAGTTAAACGTCACGCTGATCATTGGACGCTGCGATACTTGAATAAATCTGATTTGCCGCGCTTCGAGTTAATAGTGTTTTATTGTACAAAATATTAACAGTATGTCAGTTTAATGTTATCATCAAAAGTTACAACATCAGCAGGAGTATCAAAAATATCACAAAAAAACTTCTCTCAAAAGGACAGTCTTAATCAGTTTTAAAACTCGACATAAAGCAGTATTGATTGACATATAAAATCATAACTTATTTCTAACTTGTGCGTCTCTTCAGGGATTCTTCATATTAATCCTTCTATACAAACTTTTTGGATTGCAAAGGAACTTCTTCTTGACACATGAATAGGTGTTAAACCTCTTTAATAATTACATATCAGGAATTATTAAATATTCTGCCAGTTTTCAACGCATATTATCATTCCAACGTGCATATGGGGGTGGTTCTGGCGTGGCTTCCCGTCTCGTTAGCAAAGTTGAATAATGCAGTATAGGAAGAACTGCTCCCCCCAACACCATAGCGCCGAATGTCGGTTTATGTAACAACCTGATGAAAAAAAAAATATGAAGACGAAATACAGCAAGTTGCACATACATCCATTAAAAATGTCATTAGTTTAAAGCCACATACAGCCAGTTGCACAAAGGGCCATTAAATTTTTCATTAGTTTAAAGCGAGATAACCCATACAAATTTGACATTTATTAGAGCTTAAAGGCGTCACTAAACCTTAATGGATGTTTGTGTAACTGACCAATAAACACATAATTATCTAAATATCTTAATTCAGCAACCGTCTTAGTTCACAAGTGCATAACTATAATGCCAAATAATTATTGTAAATGGTGTTAAATATATAAACCGTTTTATTTTATCTAATTAAGAAACAACCGTTCGCTGACGATACCAAGGAACAATTTGATACATTGGGTGGAGAGTGTGCATATCAATATACAAATATGAGCTTACTTCTTTGGAATACCTCCAAAATTCGGTTTAATTTGGATAAAATATTGATGGTAGTGAAAAGTTAAAAACTTGCCTCATTGAGAGTTAATTTGGGTTGATGAAAGTTTGTATGAATCCCCAAAAAAAGGCATTCCCCTTTTACTACATATCGAAATGTTAATTACCAAAGACTTTTAAATAATAATAAGCTACTTACCATGGAACTGATATTACAAAGAGTGTATAAGAAAATGATAGCATAAAATTGACCCAAACTCTGGTGCACCTTCTCAAACTACTCGATATCCACTGGCATTGTAGAACTAAAAAGAACAATTTAAATTTTGAAACAGAAGAAATCTATCAAAGCATTTTGAAACAGTTTTCATTCTCAAATAAATCTTCTTAAATATACAATTGTTCTTAAGCAAAACTTACATAATGTTACCCATTCTGGGTGCAGTGTCATTGCAGAAGCAAATACTTGGACAAAACCCAACAATCTGTACTTCCATGTGTGTATATTGGCGTCGCGACGTTCTAAGTCATGGAGTTGTTTTAAACTATAAGAACCTTTCCGAAGTAAAGATATGGGATCTGCAGTTGGGAAAGTTGATGGACTATATGCTTGAAGAACACCTTGCTCTACAACACCCACTGCTGTATACTTAAAAAAAAAAGAACATTGTTTATACATAAAAATTTTTAACAATTTGGGCTCTCCTACTAGTTTACTATTCTTTTATTTTAAAAATGGGAGGCAGTAAAAAAATTTATATAAAAAAATACAGTACAGTTTTAATAGCTTAAATACACGATGGTCTAGAACAGAAAAGGTTGCAAAACACTGGTCTAGAAGAATTTGTCTAATATTATTTCTCTTACCGAAAACGACATCCTAATATATACTTATACTAATATTCAAAGTAAAAAGTGTAGTAAGCAAAAATTTAAGACATGCAAGTGCATATTATTTATGTAAATTAGAATACAAACTTACAATATCATCCTCACGTCCAGCATATGAAAAATGGATTCTGAGATCCCCAACTTGATGTTCAAGCGCACTATCCCCATGATAGTAGAATCCAGAGTGCAATTTAATGTCAGTGCGCTCAGGCCTAGAGTCGGACCATATCTCATAATAGTCATTAACTTTACGTTTGACATCTATGCCTAAAACACAATAATATTTTTAGTGGACACAGGTATAAAAAAGCAATAATGCCAGTATACAAAAGGTGGTGTTATTGGTATGCAGCAACCTCTTTCATGCAACCCATGAAGATGAATAATTAAAAATAGGATAGAATCACAAAGGTAACAGTAATAGAAAGATTAAGCAATAATTATGGCACAGGTATGGTGAATTTTCATTTGCGCAGAGCAGACCAACCAATTCCAGATTATTAATCAAATTTTATAATGAGTCTTATTTCAATAATCAAATAAGGTGTAAAATACATACAATGCCTTATGTGTCTGTCCCGACAAGGTCAAGGGATTATTCTGATTGGTAAATAAAAATGTTAAAAATCATAAAATTACCCAAGTACAACCATCCAATTTTAACATTTTCAGCAATGTGTGTTTCACTGAACATTGGCATAGAAGTTGGATTGTGATGACCTGGCCTTATGTAAAATAATGAGGAATCCACAATAAAATCTCTCCAGTCTTTATGATACCAATATGTTTTCTGTGATTCGTCTCCTGGCTCAGATAGAAAATTTTCTTTGTCCCTAGAAGTGACCAATAAATATTAAATATCATTATTTTACACTTCTACAATAAACCGTTGCTGTAGTCTTGACTGGCTATGGTTATAATATATTTAATAACTCACGTAGTTTCTTCAATCCATTGGTACATCTGTACTCTTTTCCTAAGTTTAACTGCTAGTACTTGTATATTGTAGTCTGGTTCTGATATAGGCTCGAGTATGCGTAGAGGCCCAACAATGTGAACGATACGGCCTTCATACCTAGCTGCCTCATCTCCTGTATGAACATCAATACTCTCTGCTCCAGCAATCAACTCATCAAGCATCAAATTACTTTGAATGGTTTGGCTCTGTAAACGTTTATAATATGCATGGGAAGAACATAATATTGTTCATTAGTTGAGTGGAGGCCTCATTAGTTGTGTATTTATATTACAAAAATATTTGAAAAAAATAACTACCACAACATCCCACCAGTTTACTTTTTACTTTCACTTGAAAGATAGTCCTGTTATATAAAATATTTTTTCAAGATAAATATTAAAGTTGTGGATGCAAATTTTACAAATAAAAATAATTAATTTCCATAGTTATTAAACGAAATAATCTCATGTTCACAAACAGTCATCCTACTACCCATAATTTAACAAGTATTTTAGATATCTGGAGTGTAAATATAAATTAAATTTAGATTATGTTTCAAAATGAAACATTTTTATCATGTTTTATTTCATACACTTGCTTAAAAGTTGTTAATATTAATGTATCCATTTAATTCTACTAACAAGGGATTGAATTTTAATTTAAGTGTCCTTATATGGGGACATTGGGAACAACTAGTTATTCTTAGGAGTAGTACTCCTATTACATCCAAAATTTATTATCATTCCCATTACCATTACCAAAGAAAATATGTGATAATTATCAATTAAATGCAATGCAATAACCAAATGTGCCCAATATTCCTGAATAGGGACACTTGATTAAAATCCAATCTCTTGTTAGCAGGATATATAATGTATTAAATGACAAGTACTAGAAAGATTATTGCATAATAGTTTCAAGCACTTTGAAGTGAAGAATGAGCAAGTAATCAATTATCACTACACTTACCTCTGCCCAAATTAAAAAATAAGTAACACCAGTAAATAATATAAGACTAAGAATTGTTGTAAGCCACGTTTGTTTGAAATGATTTCTTACTGCAGACCAATCCATCTGTAATTTAAGTTATATGATATAAGTCTTAAGTATAGACGTTTCTAACAGTGCAAAATTACGTTTAATGGCATAATTTGTTTACATATACAATTATTATCATGAGTTAGGTGATTACATAGTTGAAAGTGTAATATAATAAAGTTGGACAATATTAAGGACATTTTTAAACAATCAAGGAGGCAACTAATATAAAAACGTTATTTACCATTTATTATAAAGTAAATCATCATCATCACCAGCCCTTTTACGTCCCGACTCAGGCCTTCCTTAACCCTTAAAACCACTTGTGGGGGACCTAGGTACCCCAGCGCTCTGTTTTTTGCAAATTATACAAATATTTTGAAGGAAAGGCGGTCGCGGTTTCGAGTATTCCCTGTGACTCCTGAAAGCTGTCGGGGTGCAGACGTGCGTCGTGCTAGCGTTGGAAGTTTGTTTTTTGCGGGACCTAGGTCTCCCACGAGTGTAGTTACGTAAGTATTTTATGTTGATAATAATCTTTTTATCTACATTTTTTAGGTTTGTGGTGCAGTATGTGTAAGAATTTAGATGCCCAGCAGATAGAAAGGCTGCTAAATGACGTCAGTATAACTCTAGTGTCTTCAATGCACTAAACCAAAACCAAAAAACGCGATTATTACAATTCTTCCAAAGGTGGCTTAGATGCTCTAGACCAGAAGTGTGCTGCTTACTCTGAGAACCGGAGAAGTCAAGGATGGTCGACCACAATATTTTGCTTAGTATTGAATATTTCCGGAGTAAACAGTCATGTCCTTTAGAGTGCATCTAATCCTCAGAATCGTTACAACTTTTTAGAAGAACTTAGGTAAACTTTAGTAACTCTTCATGTTCTGGAAAGAAGAAGAGGCTCTTCTAACCTTACGAGGGAGCTGAAAGATATGATGGACAGGTTCCTGTGCGATGTTGGTGTTGACATACCTGAAGATCAACCAAAACAAGAGGCCAAAAAATCAAGGTGTCATTTGTGTCCACGAAGCAAAGACAGTAATACTCCAAGGATGTGTTCCAAATGTATGAAAAATGTTTGTCGAAACCACTCTGTTGATGTAAAAATATCTTCTAAATGTGAGTCATAAGTTTTAAGTACATTATAATTATATTTTTGAGACTAATTTAATGAGACTGATAATATCTTAACATATTAAGGTAAAAAATTTAATAGTCAACTAAGTCAAACTTTCTCCTGTAAAATATAGGTAATTAGAAAAAAAAAATTTTTTTTGTTCCAAAAGTATTTTCTTATTTATAATATAGACCCCATGAATGTGACGAGATTTTTCGTAGCTTTTTTATTTCACACTAGGAATATTAATTATAATTATGAAAACCTAATTAAAGTGTTTATTTAATAGAATATATGTTTTTTTATTTATGTTATAAATATTAATCCTAAAATATCCTATATTTATTACTTCAATAATAACCACAAACAGTGGGGACTTAGCTCCCCCACGAGTGTACATATGTAGGCTGAAAATAACGAGTGGTGTTAAGGGTTAAGGAGGACGGGCCATGACCCTCCACGCTAGCCCAATGCGGATTGGAGGGTATTAACGACTGCAAATGCAGCCGGGACCAACGGCTTAACGTGCCTTCCGAAGCACGGAGTAGCTCGAGATAATTATTTTTTGGTTACCTATCCCGTGACCGACCCTTGCGAAAGTTGCTTAATGACTACGATCGCGGGCCACGGCGCTTATCCACTACGCCACCGAGCTACTCAAGTAATTAAAAAACATTAATTTTTACCTTGAAGTCACACAATTTTATTCAGTTACAGTCACACAATTATATTAAACATTGAATTGCAATCCTTTTCAATATTTTATATCGTGAACAACATCTTTTTTAGGAAAAACCATGGAAAAAAACTAAAAACACAACTTAACCAAAACATGAAAATTTTTTTTTTTTTTTATTATTAAGAGCATTGGCTACCAAGGCCATCAGCTTAATCCTTTAGTGCATACATATAATTAGAACTAAACACTACTACAAAATCCTTAGACTAAAAAACCCTTAAAATTATGTTATATAAATATTAAATATAATAATGTAAATATTAAATGTAAGAAAGAAGAATCAAATTTGATATAATCATTTACAGAAGACCAAAAGTATTACTATAAAAATGATAAATTATTACATACAAATCAACTATTTTCAGCATGTCCTGCACATTTTTTGGAAAAATTTTGTTTTTTAGATGATCTGTACACAAAGAAACAAAAAGAAGACGCTGCAAGTTAAAATATTTACAATTAAAAAATAAATGCTGAAGGTCACATATTGTCTCTGTACAATATTTACACAATGCACTGTCGCTTAATCCGAGGCGGTGAAGATGGGATGGGAATTTACAATGACCTATTCTTAATCTACAAAATGATGTTATGAAGTTCCTATTCGGGGTAGTCAATTTCTCAAACCAGGCTTTAGTGGTGGGCACAGGGACAATTTCGGCATGCCATTTACCCTTAGTAAGACGTGAATTGGCTAGGGATATAGACCATCGTTTGATCATATTTTCTTTTAGACGAATTATTAAATCACTATATGGCACTTTGTAATCATTTATCAGTGTTATATTCTGTGTAGATCGTGCAAGTTTATCTACGAGCTCGTTCCCAAATATGCCGGAATGTCCCGGTACCCAACAAAATTCAATTAATAAATTACATTGATTCAATAGTTCAACCAGGTTTCTAAGTTCATAAACTAAGTAGTTATATTTCACATCAATACATTTATCCTTTAATGCAAACAGTCCACTCATAGAATCACTAAGTATTATAAATTTGAAAAATGATGATGAACTGAAATTCAATAATATATATTTAACAGCATAAATCATGCCTAAGATTTCAGCAGAAAAAATTGAGAAATTGTGATCACATGAATAAACTTTACCAATTTTATTACAAGAATCGTAAAATGCAAAACTAGTGCGATTATTTGTTTTAGAACCATCAGTATAAATTTTTATGTAATCTTTTTTCTCGCTCAGAAACTCATAAAAGTCTTGTTTTGAATCGAATCTCGTTAACGTAACTTCAACATCACGTAGCATTACTTCAAAGTTGTAAGAGAAACAAGGAGGTTTAAACGACCAATAAATTATATCTTGAAATTCAAAGTTTAAATAGGTGATTGATTCTGTAATGGAAGGCATCGCAGGTATAGGAATATTATTATAATTAGGGATTGCAAAATTTTCAAGGTAACGACTAACTAAAACATTGTCACGACTAATTAAATTCAGACAAAATTTTTCTGATAAATAACTTCTTCTTATATGTAAAGGCGGTACTCCAGATTCGACTTCTAAGGAATTTATAGGAGAAGATATCATAGCCCCTGTAACTATTCTTAGCCCTTTATTTTGAACAATATCTAGTTTTTTCAGAAACTGTTTGGATGCGTGAGCATAAAAAATACTACCATAATCTAATTGACTACGAACTGTAGAAATAAAAAAGCTTTTCAATATTTTTGGATCAGAGCCCCAGTTAACCCCAACCAGAGATTTCAAAATATTTAAACGCAATTCTGCTTTTTTACATGAATATGTAATGTGGGGACCCCAAGATAATTCTGAATCAAGTATGATACCTAAATACTTCTCAGACGTTTTGTAAGGTATAAGAGTATTATTATAATATATACGAGGACTGACAGGGCAACTATAGGCAAAGAGCATAACTGAACTTTTGTTTACGTTTACTTCTAGTTCTAATTGATTATTTAACAAGTTACTAAGATTGGTAAGACAATTGTTCATAATTCGTTCACCCTTACACAGATCTTCACAGTCTAAGTATATAACAACGTCATCAGCATAGAAAGTATATTTAACTAAATTCGGTATAAGTTTCATAAAATTTACAAGACTTAAAATAAAAAGTAGTGGTGAAATAACTGATCCTTGGGGGGTACCTTTAAAAGACTTACACGGACCGTATAAACTATCCCTAATTTTTAATGTAACGGAGCGACCATTTAAAAACTGAAAAATCCAAAATAAAACTGGACCAGGAATACCTAATGAACTTAAAGTTTGAATCAAGTACTCGTGTTTAATATTATCGAATGCGCCTTTTATGTCTAGAAAAACGGCGATAGTTATTTTATTTTTTCTAAGATTACTTTGTATGTCGCCTAATAAACAACCTAAATTGTACATCGTGCTCTTTCCCTTGCGAAAACCAAACTGGTAATCAGGTATAAGAGAGTTATGTTCGATAAACCATTCTAATCTATTTTTTAACATTGTCTCAAATAACTTTGCTAAGCACGAAGTCAAAGAGATGGGTCTATACGCATCTGAGCTATTGCCATCCTTATTAGGTTTTAAAATAGGTATTACAATCTGAGTCTTCCAGATAGGAGGTATAATATTATTTTTCCATAGTTGATTGTATATATTTAAAAGAAGACGTTTTGCGTTTTCAGAAAGATTTTTAATGACAGAATATGGAATATAATCAGGGCCTGGTGAAGTATTCTTTTTATTATTTAAGGCAGCTTCAAATTCAAACATATGAAAGGGATTTTGGATCCATTTCGCTGACTCACTTCCCTTGGATGTGAAGTACGAATCTAAATTATAGGAATTTATATCAGAAGAATTCGAAGGAGTTATATTATTTAAATAAGCCCATGCGTTGGACTGATTATCAAAATAATGTGACCTAGAAATATTTCCTAATTTAGCAAATTTAAATCTTCTAATTTGATCCCAAATTATTTTAACAGGTGTAGTTCTGTTAAAGGAATTACAAAAATTGGCCCAACTTGAAAGCTTTTGTTCAGCTAATATTCTTTTCTTTTTAGCATCGAATTGCTTATATAAAATATAATTTTCTAAAGTAGGATATTTTTTAAATGAGTTTAGAGCGAGTTTAGCTCTTTTAACTGCTAGAGAACAAATATCATTCCACCAAATAGTAGGCTTGCGTTTTCTGTTATGGCAACTGAATTTTTGTTTTTTAGGAAATGTCATTAAAATATTACATAAATTTTCAATAAATGAAGTATAGTTTGTTAAAGGATCCGATTCTAAAGTAAAACAGGAAAAAACATCATCACATAGCTGGGAAAATTTTAACCAATCTATTTTTAGAAAGTTAAC